TTCGAATTAGTAATATTCAGGAATGCTCATTTTTAAGTAAAAAAGAAATTCAATTTGAATAAAATTTTAATATTTTATTAATTACATAATTTTTAATAAAAAGTAGCTGTATAAATCATGATTGAAATATTGGTTCAAGCTAAAAACCTCTTCCAGGTTCTTATTGTTGCAAAATATACTGCAGCTCCAAATTATACACCTGTGAAAAACAATAAATTGTGCTCAAGATATAGTATTAATGGTCAATGCAAAAATAGTTAATATTCATTGATTATTGTATATAATTAGAATATGTTTGATCAAATTTGTGCTATAATAATATTTTTTATTAATTCTAAAGTTATAATGATGTATATCTTTTCAAATTAAAAAATGATATGCCTCAAATAATAATTAACTTAAATTGAGAAATGATACATAATATGAATAACATGAAGAATAAACTATATTAATATAAATTCAATTTTAAATTAGAGAGTAAAATTGATAAATAATTATTTGATCTTGGTTAGAATTTTGAGTATCAAAATAAGTTTTCATTGAGTTTTTAATTCTGCTATTGTCAAGCATTAGTTAAAGTTAAAATTTAACTGTGTTTAAATAGCGATAAGATAGTTATTTTTGATTATAAATTCAATTTTTATAAATATTAATAAAATTTTTTAATGTAAAAAAAAAAAACAATTGATGAATTTAATGCTAAATAAGATAGCTGCATGATGTTGTGCTGCTATGCTAAAACCAAAATGTAATTCAATGATATTTGCAATTATACAAAAGTAGATAAGCTCTATTAGAACACCTATATCACATGATAAATCATTCATTTTAAGTTAGGCTTTGTGTGCATATAAGTGGATTTGACTCATCAGAGGTACATCAGAGCTGATAATTCAAAAATAATCTACATACATATTTGTATCATGTATATATAAACAATTATATGTTGTTTTAACTATGTATATACATAATAATGAATTCATATTTTTGCTATCTTTGTCTACCAAACTTTTGCTACTCTTATCAGTCACAAAGTTCTCTTATTAAATATAAAAGTTAAACACCCAAACAATACAATAATTCCTCATATATATACTATAACTGCACCTTCAGACTATAATATCGAACAATTCAGAAATGTATTTATTATTCAAGTAAAAAAGCAACTTTAATTTGGCTGTAGCACAGTAAAAAACAGTTGGAGTCTTTTTCAGAAGGATTATTTATTACTTTATTTTATCATACTTCTACTTTCCATTTTACTATATCACAAAAAAAATATACAGTTAGTTTTAAAGGAAGTAAAGGTTATGATGAATTAGGAAATCTATTGAATGATAGTAGGTGAGGTAGCAAAGAAGATGGGTTAGGAGCTACTGCTTATGTTTTAATAGAAAACAAGTTTGAAGAATATGGGGTTAATTTTATTTGGAAAGAACATATATATAAAAAATATTATTATCCTTTATTATGTGGTTTAGTAATATGTTCATTTAAAACTGATATTTAGAATTTTGTTTTAAAACAAA